GGCATAGAGGACCTACAATAATGTACAGTATTTGAAAAATAATGTGTTTTTTGAACATTAAAGCATGTCAACATATTCCGTTACACCAAATACACAAAATAATGATCTTTAAAATAGCAAAAAATAGTTTTTAAAAAGTCAAACAGTTTAATATTAATTAATAATCCAAAGATCCATTCTGCAGTTTCACTTCTGTTGGAGAATTTTGTCCCTGAGTGATGAAGATAAGACTGATGGAAACTTTCAATTTTACATCAATCATGGTAATGGTAATCGATGCAAAAGCAGAGAGAGAGAGAGAGAGAAGAGAGAGATGTGAATCAGCAGTCCATTCCAGCCGCAGCGCGAGAATGCCCATATAAGGACACAGGCCTCCTAACCCCGCCCCCGGACTGTGATGCGGGCTGAATAAGAGAGGTGAAGGGCAAAGGAAGAGAGCAAGATAATGAGAGCATTAGTGACACACATTCAGGAAGATGAGCAATGACCTGGAACACCTACAATCTCAATGAGACCCAACATAAACATTTCCATTTCTTTCAGTTACTTCCTTAAAAAATTCCAAAGGAAATTCAAGTTCATTCAGGTTATCCAAACAGCCTTAATAGTGCGTTTGAGGACTGCAGGTAGTCACTGTCTAATGTGGGATAATCCTTTCCAACGCCAAAATCTAAGAATATATTTAATGCTACCTTTTATATGAATGACCACACATGCCAGTTTTGTTGACCTTTGTGGTATATTTAAGGTGAAAGAAGCTTTTTGATGAACGAGAACAACAAGAAGGGTTGTTTCCACATTAAAAAACCTCAAACAAAACAAACTCAAAGTTTCCATCAGCGCCACCTGCTGTCAGACAGTGAAGTTACATTCTCATTCAGCCTGTCTGCTGTTTGTGTTCAGAACAATGTGAAAATGGGACCACATTTTTGTTGTAAGATGGAAATGAGAGGTAGATGGAAAACAAGCTAATGTGCATTCTAAAAATCTCAGCACTTCGATAATAAGGTAGACTATGTACAATTGTTTATGGA